AATGTTGGTGTCTTTGCCATCAGTCCAAAGAGATTTTCCTTCCTCCAAAACATGTTGTACAGCCTCCTTCATGGCTTCAGCTGTTGTGTAACCAACATTTCTATTTGACTCTCTGTTTCTAACCATTTTATCTGGAAGAGGAAAAAAAAAGGAACACAACTGAATTTTTTAGAAATCGGTTTATTAAAGAATAATTATTTAATTTAAAATATCTTATCTTAATCTTCACTGGTATTAAAATCTAGGCCAAATTCATACTTTTTCTGATTTAAGTTATATTCCACAAACTTGCGTTTAACATATGTATGTCAATATTTTAAAATATTATTAAAGAGCATAAATGGGGCACATTGAATCAATAGCTTAAATGATCCACTGTGCCCCGATTCACTGTGCCCCGTGATAAAAAAAATTAAACAAATTGAATTTTCTGCTACATGGCTGGCTGCATAGGACTGGTAAATTGTTTGAATACACTCTACTAGGTCACTAATGCTAATCAATTACATCGAATTGTTAAAATCTTAATAATAAAATCTGTGAAATAAAATTAGAGAAGGTCCTAAAATTTACATTTGATGGTAAAAAACATACCTTACCTTGTAAAATTTCAAATTGACGTTAGAACAAGCAATGCTGTATAAATAAAGTTGGCGGATGTAATTACGCAAATAATGATGACATCAGCAACAGAAATCTCCCGGTGATTTGGTAGAAAATACCACTGATTCACTGTGCCCCTTGATCCACTGTGCCCCAACTCCCAGTTTCTAGCTGCTATCATCTTCCCATGGAGTAGTCAGGTGTTGCTCTATCGTAACAATGGGCATCAGGGACATCATTTGGGTAAGGCAGGGGGTGGGGCATTTGCCCCTCCGCCTTGAGTTTGCAGGTTTTATTTAAATTGCTATGTATTGTGGCGCCTCCTGTAATAAACAGCGTAACAAGCCGACCTAGTTTTGGTTTAGCCCCCACCCCACCCCCCTTGAAATAAACCCTGTTGACGGGCCTAATCTATGGTAGCTGATTTATCATTTTCATCTTGCGGAACTTATAGGCCTATACCAGACAAAACAGTATCCTCAGCTCACCATTTAGCACTCAAAATATAACATTGCCACAAACGTTTCTGTCTCCTGGCAGCTACTCGCATTGGTCGAAACCTTTTTTGTTGAGTAACAGGAGCTTCTTCTTCTATATCTTAAGGGCCCACGATCAATTTATTGATCATTTTGGCTCCTATGCATGTAGATGGGATTTGCAATGTTTCTGTTACTGGTGGTGATGAGGAAATCATGCACTAGGGGTTTGAAGGCTGGAGGCAATAGACACAAATGTGTCTAGTGTTGTCGCCTCAACCGTTCCTTTTGAAAGATTTTTCCAGTCCCTGATTGTCTTGGGCAGGAATGAGCAGCTCCTATACTGGCTTCTTGCTGGTAGGAGCCTGAATTGCCTGTCATTGACTGTCATGGCCTCGTCGCTGTCTATGGGGGAGAGGGACGAGTTTCTGTTTAATACTGGAACAGTGGACCAGCCCATTATTTATCTTGTACATCATGGAGAGCCTGGATTGTCGTCGTCGTTTCTCCATGGAACAGTGGACCAGCCCATTATTTATCTTGTACATCATGGAGAGCCTGGATTGTCGTCGTCGTTTCTCCAATGGTGACCAGCCTAGTGTTTCTAGCATGCTGCCAACACTAGAGGTATTCCTGTAGCGGTTTAGGACAAAGCGTGCTGCTCGTCGCTGGACCGCCTCCAACATGTCAATGCTCTTCTGGGTAAATGGGTCCCAGACTGAAGATGCATAATCTAAAATCGGACGGATAAAGGCTTTATATGCTCTTTCTTTCATACAGGAGTTGCCAATTTTTAGATTTTGCCTTAAGAACCCTAGGGTCTTGTTTGCTTGGTTACATACATTGTTAATATGCTCGTCCCATTGTTAAATGCTTATGCTGACCCATTGTCGGTGCTGTTGACTGTTGAGCATGCTTTTTAACATGACTTGTGAAGCAAAATAGATTTTATAGATTTTGCAAATCCGTTCAAGCAGCGATGTTACTATTGTTACTCACTTTACGTTCCTCTAATTCTCAAAATATCGTATTCCTACTCTAACAATATCATTTATCTTGACTGTACATGACACTTCAACCTTGTCCTTGTTCCATACGTGCAAAAGAATCTACAGGTGAAGAGAGGCTTAAGTTTGACCTCTCTTGCACTAACAACGTGTGCTAACGTTCTGACCAGCCATCTTCAGTGCATAGATGACTATTTACACTCATTAAATTTTTTTCAATAACGTAATAAGCAGTCAATTTTTAAGATTAAATTTTTATCAGAGAAAACATGATTGTTGACGTCAACTAATCTAAAGCCCCATCCCCCCCCTTGTCAACAACTATCAAACATTTCCACCCCCCCCCCCCTTTTCCCCCTTTTTTTGTTGTTGACTAATCTAAAGCCCCATCCCCCCCCTTGTCAACAACTATCAAACATTTCCCCCCCCCCCCCCTTTTCCCCCTTTTTTTGTTGTTGACATAATTAATGGACGGCCCCTTTGGCGATAATAAATAGTTTTAAAAAATAATGGTCTTCAGACTTGAGGGAGGGCGTACAAATGAATATTGTACCCTGACGCCAAACACTCTAGATATGTCCCTGGCAACGACGTAGAAATGGAGCGAGCTGGAGTAGTCCACCCAGGGATCACTTTTTCTTTATATGGAGGTGCGGCAATTTCGGACAACTGTAGACGTTTAACCTAAAAGAAAGAGTGGCAAAAATCCTTTGTTGCGCTTGGCGACACTAATACTAGCTGTTGTTGTTGTCCGTCAAATTGAATAGGACCATCGATTCATCCAGTTAGGGGGGAGGTTGGGTTATGGTGAGCTCGTAGATGGCTACTAGCTACACCACTAGGTAGGCCTATACATCTGCACCAACATTAGCGATAATTTTCATCCGGAAATAGGGCAGAAATCGAGGGCGCTGGTTAATCTTGAACTGTAAATGTTTCAAATGAGCATTTTGGAGTACCGGGGTATTCAGTGTATCTATGAAACGTATTGATCGTAGAAAATGGGAGGGGAGCATTATGGCGCCCAGTGCGATAGGAAAACTGAATACACTCTAGTTGTGGCGTGCCCCAGGGTAATCATTTGGTACAGGATATTTGGTACAGGATTTTATCAACACCATACTATAACATCAGGGTAAGTGAAGGGGGTACAGAAAATAAGGGTGCTGAAGACTATTGGGCAAGTAGAAAATGCGGGTATGCATTTTGGCCCATGGGGACCACCCATAAATGGCGACACGAGTCGGGGGGGGGAAGGGTCACATTTTTGTGACCAGAGATGGGGGGGGGGGGGAGATTAATCAATGTGACGTCACATGAAAAGCGGAATATTGTAGTAAAATAATTGCACCTAATAACCCTAAATTACTGAAATTTTTAACATTACTCTTTTATAAAACAATTATAATTATTTTATTTTTAAACTACAATAGAATCAGTATATGTATATGAGGTCCGAAAAATGGCCTCTGATCAAGTTACAGGGCGCCAGGGAAGAGAAGAATCGGCGTGTAGTTACAATGACAGCCGTGACAATTTATATCTAATTGCCGGGAGGGGAGTCATCTAACTAGAACTACCACGTGAATTGGGATGGAACGAGAAAAATGGTTGACCGGGGTGTGGGGGAAATTTTAGTAAATGCTCTAGAGCAGTGGTTCCCAAACGGTTCAGTTTGGTGGACCGGTGAACAAGTTTCGAAATTTTACCAGGGACCGGTGCATGATTTATTTTTATACTTTTATTTCTATTTGACAACAACTATTTATGTTATGGGGACCGGCAGCGTTAGGCATGCGGACCGGTGAAGGTCCACGGGCCACCATTTGGGGACCACTGCTCTAGAGCAGGGATTCGTAACCTTTTTGCAGCGCTTCAGGCCCCACCGCCCACAACCCAAAAACCGTATAAGTTATATTTTGATAAGATTAAAAATATAAAAATAATTAAACATTTTAGTTATTGTAGTTTTATTTCTGTAATTATTACATTTTTATAAACGAGGAAAAACATTACCAATAGAAGTAATGCGCAAACAAATTTCAACAGAAAAACATTTAGACTACTGCTGCTAATCAAAATGCATTATAACTTTTTTTTTATTTAAAGCAGTAAAAACTAGCAATGGAAGCAAATGAAATTTTATAGTCTTCATATAGTTTATAGTTACTTTTACCCCTGGTTAAGAATAACTATTCTAGTGAAATGTTGCTGACACAGGTGCAGTAATTTGATATCCATGGGAGGGTAATTTCTTAAGGGTTTATAAAGGACAGCTGTGGACACAGGGCAATTTTATAGGTGTGTGAGGTGCAGAGATTTGTAACGTTATTGGGGGGGGGGGGGGGGGTCTAACTTTTTGTGTCGATTTGTGACGATGTAGGAAGAGGGGTGCTGGGTGGCCGAGTGGTCTAAACTGAGCAAATCTCAAGTTCCTGGAGTTCAATCACAGCCAGAGCCCAGCCAAGCAAAATCACCACCACCACTCTACACCCCGGGCATATGATTGTTAATTTTAAAAATATATGAAGTTTGATGAATAGTCATGAAATTGAATAATAATGGGATAGGCATACTCGTTTTGCCTGAGATGTCATATTACGCTTATTTTAAACTCTAGTATTCTCGGAGTATCCAGTAATCGATTTTTTTTTATATTTAGAAATGACAGGCCAGGATTTTGTACTGTAAACTCAAGCCTACCTGCCTTACAGGGATAGCTGAGATCTAGTTTTATTTTTTAATCATGTAAGTGTTTGACACTTTGACTTAATGATTTAACATTCTTGATTTGTATTATTTTTGCAATTGACTTTTGTGTAACTAATTATTCTCACTTTACACTGTAAATTTGTAAATGTATGGCTTGTCTAATTGGAAGGAGGAAGATTCCGCCATTTTGAAATAGACCGTTATAGTTTATGTTTCCAAATCCGGACGGTTAAAGATTAAAGTGCTGTTCAAGTGCGTATATTATTTCTGATCGACTTTCGAACTTTCGCGTGTAATCTTATGCTAATTCTATAAAAGTATTTTAATAATAAAATACCATCCCATTTGTAGGAATACAATAGTCTATAGTATTTACTATTCAATTGTCAATAGGTACTTTGACAAAAATTGTAAATAAAGTAAATTGTCCTAAGCCTATTAACTATTGTTGACTATTGCCATGCCATGAATTATGCATAATTTTAAAGAATTTACTTAAAGGGCTAGTTATAAGCTTTACTTTATTATACTTTAAAAAAAGCCACCAATTTTATCTTCCTATCTCTTATAGAAGTGGATATGAATTTTTTAACCCCTTCTTTATCTTAATTAATCTTAATCAATCTTAACTTTGTTGTAACACTTTGTAATTGTACTTTGTATTTAACTGCCTTATTTTTCCCAACATTTTTTTTATTTTAAAATATAATTTATAATAATGCTACCAAAATTTTAGGAAAAATTTTATTCAAAGAGAGGTCCGCTGGGACGAGCATATTAACAATGTATATAACCAAGCAAACCAAGCCTTGGGGTTCTTAAGGCGAAATCTAAAGATTGGCAACTCCTGTGTGAAAGAAAGAGCATATAAAGCCTTTATCCGTCCGATTTTAGATTATGCATCTTCAGTCTGGGACCCATTTACCCAGAAGAGCATTGACATGTTGGAGGCGGTCCAGCGACGAGCAGCACGTTTTGTCCTAAACCGCTACAGGAATACCTCTAGTGTTGGCAGCATGCTAGAAACACTAGGCTGGTCACCATTGGAGAAACGACGACGACAATCCAGGCTCTCCATGATGTACAAGATAAATAATGGGCTGGTCCACTGTTCCAGTATTAAACAGAAACTCGTCCCTCTCCCCCATAGACAGCGACGAGGCCATGACAGGCAATTCAGGCTCATACCAGCAAGAAGCCAGTATAGGAGCTGCTCATTCCTGCCCAAGACAATCAGGGACTGGAACCATCTTTCAAAAGGAACAGTTGAGGCGACAACACTAGACACATTTGTGTCTATTGCCTCAAGCCTTCAAACCCCTAGTGCATAATTTCCTCATCACCACCAGTAACAGAAACATTGCAAATTCCATCTACATGCATAGGAGCCAAAATGATCAATAAATTGATCGTGGGCCCTTAAGATATAGAAGAAGAAGAAGAAACATTTTGAATGCAATATACAATACAACACAATAAACAACAAAACTTTTACATAACATCAAGAATTGGGTATTTTGTATAATTTTATTTTAGATTATGTTTGTTAAGAAAAGAGTGAACAGAACAACATTCATTTGGAAAAAAATCATCATTTATAATAATTATAAAGGAACAAAACAACATTTTTATTGAATTTTAACTAATTATATGCTTGTGTTAAATTTTAAATAAGTTCTTACATTTAAAAAAAGGTAAGTAATCTTTTTTATATAAAATTTATTGCATTTAATTATAAATAAAAATAACTCAAATAAAATCACCCATAAGACTAATCCAAGCATACCGATTCGTGATTAAATTTTAAAAGGTAATGGGGATGCTTTGCCTGTCATTTTCTGGGTAGACTGCTTTACAGACTTCTTTGTCTATATTATGAATCCTGCTATCTCTCTATCATCAACTTTGTCTTTTCAATCTATGCCCAATCACCCCTCAACGGCAATGGAAGGAATTCTGAAGTCTGCAATAGAAAATTAAAATTGAAAATTAAAAGCTTCCCTTGCATTCGAAAGAAGCCTAGAAATAACCTATAATCATAATACTGAATCTACACATTTTCTATTCTAGCCACTCCAGCTCAAATTTTCAGATACATCTGACATACAAAAAGAGTGTATCATTAGAAAGAGCTGGCTCTAAGCTTTCCAATGACATCAAGATAATCTTTCTATCACTTATAGGAGAAAAGTTAAGAATTTTTTAGTGATTTATTTTCCCCCACTATTCGGCTTTGTATTTAATTTTTAAAACTGTGATCACATAAATACTCTTTTTGTACTACTTTGCTTGTATCATTTTGGCTATTTAAGTTAGAGCTCTCAAATTTGGAGGAGACATTTACAATACAATGTTTAACAGAATAAAAACACATGAATTGTGAATTAACTTATTATATTTTATTAAATATGACTTTATGAGCATTATGGCGTGGACGACAATCTTCGAAAAATTTAATTTTTCAAAAAATGACATAATTACTAAACCAATAAAGTTATTGCTATAAAATTTTCAATAAAAACAGATAATGTCCATCTAAAAGTAAGGTAAATTTAAAATAATTAAATGCAGATCAGAATCAGAAAAATTTATGCAACGTTAGAAAAAATATTTTATGAAAAGTGACAGCGGCCGAGACATTTTTACACTAAGACTAAGATAGATAACTTTTAAACTAATAAAGCTACTGCAATGAAATTTTCAGCATTATAGATAATGACAATCGAGGTTAAGTCTTCAAAAAGGTTAATAAAGAGAAGTGGACTGAGTGGAAGATTAACAGGGATGGATAACAACAGTTAGGTAGACTAAAAAAAAAAGGTTGTTTTCAATTAAATTACGCAAATTCGCAAAATAAAGAAATGTCCCTAGTATTAAAATTTATTTATTTCATTAATTTAATTCTAGTATTAATACAATATAGGTCTATTAATACACCCTTATAACTAGAAGTCTTGGTTTATCTAATAATAAAAGAGAAAAAATACATTGTTATTGTTGAAAACCAAGAGGAATTCCAATTGGTAAATTGTTCAATTTCTTATTTACAAAGAATAATATAAAGAATATATAGTTTTTAATAATATATAATGTAAAGAATAATTCAACATTATTCAAGTTATGTGTTTATTGAAAATATTTTATTAGAAATATTTAATAGTTGTCTACTCTATGTATCTTTTTTTTCTATGTCCTAATAAAATATAATTACTATAAAAATGATGATGTTGAGACGTATTTATTTATTTATAGTCACTAATATACTCTTTAGCCATACACAAATGGGATAATAACTGCTCTTACTACTTAGACAGAGACCTATATCTTACTTACATGTAACATTAAAACGTAGGCTGGGAGTAATTTAAGTAATAATATTCTCTTTATTTATAATAATAATATTTGAGTAATTACCCTAATGATAGAATAACAATTATTGTTGATTTAATAAAGAAGAATGGATAAATGCCTAGATATACACTCATAAAATTTATTTATGTAAATTGATACTAATACTATATGACTATACTATACATTATATTATATAATTATTTAAATAAATCAAGGGACAAAACTACTCCGAAATTCACCCAACTACACAAATTAAAATTTATAAAAACTCTTTAATGTATTGGGTTGTATTCGTTTCTAATAATATTGAAAAACTGTTTCCCATCCATTAACTTAACTGATTAAAGTTCCACATATTTTTAAAGATGAACAATAATGAAAATATTTGTGTACCTAAATATTGAAATGAGTCATTTCGGACAACCCAAATTTTCTTCTTCAGTTTAACTAAAATAAACTACCACAAATGTCATCCGAATAGCTTGAGTCTAATGGTACCTGGGTGCGAATGGCGGCGCTGCATGTCTGGGTCCATTTTTACTTAAGTTTAATGGGGGGGGGGGGGAGGGGGAGGTTGAGAGGTGCTTCACCTGCTTGTGTTATGTAATAAAAATAGTAATGTTATTTTTATTTTTTATTTTCATTATTTGGGGGGATAGCTACTTAATTAATAAATAAATTTTGAAAACGAAAAAAAAAATTAAAAGGATTCCATCACTCAAAAGCACTTCAAAAATTATTTTATATGCTAAAATCAAAGGGAGAAAAAAACTTTACTTATAATAATTAGACTATATTTTCTAAATATTTCCAAATTTTAACAGTCAAAAAAAAAAATAAATCAAAACTGTTAATTAGAAAGGTCTATAAATTTTAATGGGTTTTGAAAACTGTTCATTTTTATAAATCGTATATGGCATAACTATTTTAAGAAGACATGAATTTTTTACAAAAGACATAATACATTTATTAATGTGTGATTTTATCTAAGGGAAATAGTATGCCAAATGAAGTATAGATTTCCTAATACTCAGTTGATTGAAATGTTTTTTTGTAATTTCAAAATACTATTATTTGTTTCAGATAAGTTACAAATTGCCTCTTAGATATAGTTTAAAATACTTCTTTTAAACTAAATCCAAAGCACTAATTTTAAATGAACAAATGAGGAATAATAATTCTTTCTAAAACTAGTACCAACAAAAATTTTTTTTTATATAGAATCGAAAATCCAAATGCTAATTCACAAACTCCGTTTTTTTTATTAGCTTTCTGATAGGTTCCCATCTAGAAAAAATATTAATTAAAAAAAAATTTGCAAAGAGGTGGGGCATAATAAATATAGGCTACATATTTTTTTTAAACCTCTGTTATTACTGTTATGCAGGAATCATTGCTACCAAAGTAGCTAATTTAAAGAAAACACAAATGCTTGCAATATAATTTATTATGAAATGTGCACTTTTTATATGGGACCGTTAAATTCTTAAGTATCATACATTGTACGCCAAAATCGTATGAGAAAACAGGTCTGTGAAATATACCGGTAATTTGAAAAGGGATTGCGCATGTTTGATGCTTAGTGAGAGCTATTATTAAAATTGTAGACCTTTATATTCTTATAACAGTGAAGTTACAAAAAATAAATGAATAAAAATACAGATTTTTTTATGTAAACTACAGGAAGTAGACATCAGCTTATAATCTGGAGCGGCCAGTGTGATATTTATAATCGAAAACTATACTCTTTCATCAAATATATCTAGCATAGCGATATTTCATATATTCCACCAATTGTAATACTAATCTTTTTAACACTGTTTAAAAAGACAATTTAGTCGCTTTTAATAACAAAAAAATATAATCTTTATGTTGTGGTACACGTTTTGCCGGGGGTAAATGCCCGGACAGGCAAAATAAATGACCAGACGGAAACTATTAATGTTCAGACGGAAACTATTAATGTTCAGACTGAAACAATTGTATTCCAGACTGAAAAATGATTCTCCAGATATAAAAACTTTTATAATATATATATATATATATATATACATATAAATATATATACACACATATATATGTATGTATTTCATTTTCTAGATTTTCAAATATGATTTACCATAAACTAAATATCTATGCAAAAAAGAAAAACAAGCTTTGTAAGAATTAGAAACAATATTTTCATCCTGAGATTCTTACACAGATTTTGGTTACTTACCCTAGTTACACATAGTTACACAGAACAGTTGCAGGAGAAAATGTAGATAATTTTATACTCATTTACAGTATGCTGTATTTATTTTATATGTAATAAAAACATATTAGATAGTTTTCCCTCATCAGTGAGCAGATAAATAAATTTTATTTGCGTTTCTTTTTTTTACAGGTGTTTTTATACAGCTTAGTCAGTGCCAAAAGCTGAAACGATAAAGACATGTCTTCCAGAGCTGTCGAAATCCAGATTCCTTTATCAAATTCTGCACATGTCAAATTCAGTCCCTTTTTGAGTGCAAATCATTGTAAAAAGTTTAGAGAATTTAATCACAATTTGTTGAGATTGTGTTCTCTATTCCATAAGATCAGCCATGATCTGGATTGGGAGTGTCCAAGTGATGTTGGAGACCAAACATTGGCAGTTTTTGTAATGAGTGAAATGACTGCAAAGGATTTCAGCAATAAAGAGGTGAATAATTTTATTTAAATAAATAAATGTTTTTCATTGTCTTTATGTACCGGTAAAAGAAATTTCCTGTAAATATATCAGCGCAGGGCAAATAAAAAAAAGCCACTGTTTTGGCAAATGAAAAGTAAAATTCTAAACTACATATTTATATAATACATATATATCACGAAATATTCTAACCTATCTTAACCCACAAAATTTTGACTTGATGAATCTCATTGTAGAGATGCAGAGCCAATTTTATCCAAAAAAGTGGGTGGCAAGATATTTTGTCTGCCTGTGCCGACTTTGAATTTGTGCCCCCCACTTCCCCTCATGTGTAGTTCTTTTTGTAAATAAAAAATGCTGATATGTCATTTTAATTGGGGTGCCAGGAGACATTTTCTTTCACACAGCCCTGGATATTATAAACATTGCAAAGTAATTTTCAAAAGACAAGTTTTAAATTTTTTTTCTATCCTCCCTTACATTTATGTGATAATCTTGCTCGTTAAGTAATTTTCAACAACCTGTAGATCCTCAAACTCAGAGTTGAGGGAGCTAATTATGCATCAGTATCAAAAGTTTTAAAATACTTGACCATTTCCAAGCTCTCTAAATTTATTTACAGACCTGTTTACTTTTACAATTTTGGTGTACAATGTACGACTTCATGATGTATTTTGTGATTGTACACCAAGACCTCAGTAAGACCTGTTAAGACTAAGATTGTAAGAGACCGAGTTGAAATAATGTATAAGTTATTTTTTAAATTTCAAAAGTTAATTTTCGGTTGGTAGTTTTAATTTGCATTCTAGCAGTGAATGGATCAAGAACTACAATTAGCTGGAGACGATCTATAACTATATTACGTTTGCTCTGAGAGGGAAATGGGAGTGGTATTGATTTAGGGGATTTTTGACTGAGAATGAGTGGGGGGGGGGNAATTTACACTGCCACATTTTTGTAATGCTAATAATGATGATCATATTGTTTTCTTTGAGTGTCTTTATTATGAACTTGCTAGACATGGTAACAGAAGATAAATCATCACTCTAGTGAAAATTTTAGTCTATCCGGAGTAATCCTTACGCACTGAGGAGGGGAGGGGGGGGTGTTGTCAATTGTTTTGATATTGCCTATGCATGCGTATGGGGGGGCGCTTGTCGGAAAGTATGTAGGTCATTCAAACATGTTATAATATTCATCATGCATCTGAAAGTCCAAAATAGCATTTTTACATGTCGAATGCTGTAAAGGTATCACGCAATGTTTTGTAGGAATATGTATGTCCAAAGTGCATGTGACATATATTTTACTGGGCTAGGCAAGTGGCTCTAAAATTTTCGTATCCCGGCACCTATGCAAAATTTAAGTTTTCACCAGGCGCCCTGTGTTAAATTCTAACAAGAAAACTTCAAAATGGTGAGTACATAAACCAGACCTGTTTACCCTCAAACTCTTAAAATCGTACAATATCATCACAAAATCGTCCAATACATTATCTCAATAGTGAAAAAATAATTGCAAACATTAGCTACTCAAGTGAGTTACTGTTGGCACCATGGCTGTTAGATGTCACTTTGGATTAAAGTTAAAATAAAATAATGAAAATTTTGTAATATTTCGCAACGCCCCACGTTAACATGCTACAGCAACCCATATAGAAAAGGTTCGTCAAAAAAATATGTATGCAACAGGAGATGTGGGAAGAGAAAATTTGACTTTTTTGTGTAGGTCCCATAGAGAGGATGCATTCTGGCATTTGTTTGCTTCAGTGCTGAATGACTTAATTAACACAAAAAAAAAGGTAGAAAAGTTAAATAACATCCATAAATAGTAACTATATATCAGATGTTATATTACATTATTTCCAAGCTTAAATTTTAAAAATTATTTTTCTACTTTAGTTGTAAAACCCACAACAGTAAAAAGTACCGTCCTTGACTATGATCATGAGAGTAAACAAAATTAAGCCATATTGAAAACTCCTCAATTGATCAATATATTATAAAGACAAAATGACTGTCATCTGTCAAGTTTTTCATTTTAATAGGAAATCTTTCACTTTCTATATAGCTGTGGGTTCCAAACCTTTGTGACTTGCTAAGCCCTTTATAGTCGTATCAATTTCTATGGGGGATTCCTATTGCCTACCCTATATCTTAAAAGAAAACAATGTCTTGGTGTTTTTTTACGGAAGGGGATGGGGGGGGGGGGTGATTGTATGGTAGGAGAAACCTTTTTCACTGAGATATGTAGTTGAGAAAGGTAGCAATACTAATTTTGATTTCTCAAACAATGTTATTAATTCATATTGTAAATGCAGAAAAAATTCTCGCAGAATTTGGTTTTCTGACATGATTTTTACTTCACCGTGAGATGTCAAATCTATGAAGGCCTTTTATTCTGCTGAGTTTAAGTTGGTGCTTTTTATATTCACGAAGAACACATTCAGTAACGATTTAAAATCACCACTGCCTTTTAAGCTGTGGGAAAATAATGTTTAAGTGACGATCTCAAAGCTTTGAGATGTGCCTGAATACTATTTTGTCTGTGTTTGTTCTTGTAGCTTGATGTTATTTTAATTCAAGAAGCTTTTTGTAAGAGAGCAGCAATCAAAATCTTCTATCTCCATGCACTCCAACCAATACTTTTGAGTTTGCATAATAACTATGAAGGTTTTCCTTGCAATGGGTATTCATTTCATTCACTTTACTGAAAATGTGCACATCCATGCTTAATCATTGAAAATCATCACCAAATAAAGCATTTTGGTCTTTCAAAAATGCTCTAACCTCTGCATGGAGTTCCATCAAACTTATCAATGCTTTCCTTAAGACAAGTCAGTGTGCATTTGAAGACCCGCTTTTAAGATATTCTTATTTTATTTAGTTTATTATTTTTATAGCATCATTAACACTAACATAAGTTTTAAAGGTAGTTGTCAAGAGGCTAGCAATTGACTATGAAGAACACAGTCGCTGCTGCTACATTTTTCATGATTTTTACTTCACCGTGAGATGTCAAATCTATGAAGGCCTTTTATTCTGCTGAGTTTAAGTTGGTGCTTTTTATTCACGAAGAACACATTCAGTACCGATATAAAATCACCACCACCTCTGCATGGAGTTCCCTCAAACTTATCAATGCTTTCCTTAAGACGACTATCTTAATTCAGTGTGCAGCAGGCATTTGAAGACCCGCTTTTAAGATATTCTGATTTTATTTAGTTTATATTATTTTTATAGCACCATTTAACACTATCATAAGTTTTGAAGGTAGTTTTCAAGAGGCTAGCACCTGCCTATGAAGAACACAATCGCCACTGCTACATTTTTTAAAACCGTTTCTTTAATTTTAGCAATGGCGTCAGCAAGATGATCCATCATTGGCTTTGCCTTATCATTACATATATCCGCACAGATTTTCCCCACTGTATTTCATTTGATGAGAAGACTTCATCCAAGAGATAAAATATTTCATTCCCTGTTGTGTTGGTTTGTTAGTGGTCTGCAAAGTAGAATGTCTTTCTGATAGCTTTGTTAGAAAACATAATGAAGAAATACAATACCAACTGCCAAACAATGTCAGTCCATTGTAGTGCATATATGGTAACCTGATGCTAGTTACACAAATAACACTCCAAAGAGGTAGTATGCACAGATAACATCAGTGGGAGAATCATTACAAATTTTATCATTGAAATTGTCACGATGACAATTCACTTTGAACTGAATGCAATTTGATTAAGCCAAGCTATAAATATTTAGGACTTGGCATCAAGATGTTTCAAGCTGATTTGAGAATGCCCACGAAACTTCTCGAATGTTCTGTTGCAAGAAATCACTTGGACTTTATTCAACGTAGAAAATTTTTGTTCAGAATGTAATTTCCAGTTTTTATTTAAATTCTGATTTTCTGATTTCTTTATTCTTTTTATTTGATTCATTATCATTTTTTTATTTCATGAAGTGCCTGTTGGAAACCACTGCTATGTAGCAATATGTATGCTTGTCCTGCGGTCATATTATGCAATTAGGGTGTTGAAATGGATAGAATTTAATTTATGGAGTAACTGATGTCTATCGCCTTAGATACATTTTCCAGGCTTGGGTCTTTTTTACAATTTTCTATTTAAGTGCCAAATATATTTAATTTTTGTATTTTAAATTTGAACAACCATTCAAAATTTGGATTAAATCTGATTTATTTATATGTTTAGCACTTACACTTACACAATGCAACTCAAATCCCCAACATAAACCAAAAGCATTCAATGCTTGTTCATCCCATTCTTGTGTAGCACACATTGTTGTACTGCTTGCTTTGCAAGCATTGAAACATTTACTACAAATGACAATTAAAACTGGCAACCAGTAAAAAATCTGATGTCTGAAACCCCAAAAGAAATAATTTTTTTACACCCCTACTTAAAATATAGTGTTCTTTTTTTATGAAATACCTGGTTTACATCAATGTAATTATTTTCTATTTTCTCTCCATAGAATGAAGTTACAACAATACAAGTAGATCATGAGTTCAAATTTAAAGCTGAATTACAAAATTTGGTTGGATTTGTTGATGAATTATTGTCATTAAAAGAAGTTGAGGATTTGGATGAATCGATGGAAATGAAAAAGCTAAAATCTAAACTTGATGTGTTCCTTGAGAAAAATCACTCTGAAATATCAGGTTGTTCCCAATCATGGGCTATGAATGTCTTATATTACTTAGACTTGAATTACACTATCCTTGAAAACTACAATTTCATATTAGACTGTCCACCTGGTGATCTTTTCGGCCTTCAGCGACAAATAGAGAAGATTTGGGAAAATGGATTTCATGGATGTCTTATTGCTAAGAGCAATAAAATCAACCTTAGCAAAAGCCTGCAGCAATTAGGATACTCAAGGTCTGTTTCTGACAAAATTATCTCAAGTATTCCAAAACCATTACTAGAGCGTCAGAGTTCACTGTTTTGGTCTATTCGTTACTTGAAGTATAAGCTGTTCAATGATCCTTTGCTGACCTATGTGCCCAGATATCCTTTTAAGGAAGGAAGGATCAATGAGTGGTTTGAGGAGGAAATGGAAGACTGCAATTACACATCAAATTATCCTGAGTCTTGTCAAGTCACGATGATGAATGTCTCCGGGGTAGATGGTCAGAATCAAGTTAAAAGGTATGTGGGGGGAGGGGGGCATTTGTCTGTTGCTGCCCCTCTTATTGTCTTTCTATGCCTTCCTTCACCTCTATTATGCCAAGTACTGCCTCAGTACCCTCCTTTTGCTGTTGCTGTATTTTGCTCATTCAGATCACTGAATCACATGGGTCTCTGTTAGGCAATTCAGACAGATCCCTTACTACTTATAAATAACCCACTCCGCCCTGCTGTCTTGCAGTTCTGACTCTTGTTGTCTAGGGTCTACAACAGTGCTTTCTCATAAAGAGTATCACCAACAACTTGCTTTCAACACTTCATAAAATCAGCAACACTCTATATAATAATAATGTTACAGTCCTTTAATCTTTACACTTGTACTACATAAATTCACAATAGTCACTTCAAAAAACACCCAGAAACACTGATGAAATGCACAAACTACTGGGAACTGATGATTACAGGGAATTCTGAAGAACTATCAGTAAGAGAATTGGCTAATCTTATGGTGGTCACTCTCCTTGCAGTAGCTGTAATCTCCGTCACATGTTTAGATGTTTATTATGTGACTGCACAATGATATTTAGACACAAGAATATGATAGGTGGTACTGGTACATTATTTAATAATTCTGCAATCATTATCCTAAAATTCTGAGAGGTAAATGGCCTATTAATATCTCTAATACTGTAAAAATGTCACGCAATGTTTTGTAATTATCGTTGCTATCTACTGATGTTTCGAGTTTTCACCTATGAATTCGTTGGAAAAGCACTAGTGGCAGTAACAGTAAAAATTTAGTCCACTGTGTGCCTCGATTTTATGTTTAACTTGCACATGAAAAATTTTGTTAGGCTAAGCCAGTTCAGTGTGTCCAAAAAAGTGTCGGTTCTCGGCGCCCTTGACAAATAAATAATTTAGATTTTCACTAGGTGCCCTATGTCAAGTCAAGTTCTGACAAATACACTTTAAAAGAGCGAAAGATTGGGTAAAAGTAAATAAAAAATGTATGTGGTCATTAAGTGCCTTCTTCTTGTAACTGCAAACAGTAATTACTTTAGTGAATTACTGGGTTGTAATAGGCGCCCCAGTGAGGCAGCTGCGACTCCCCAAGGGTGGTGCGGCACCCCAGGGAAAGGCCATGATGAGGAAAAGCGGGGCCCCAGGCTAAGGCTGAAAGAAAAAAATTGCCGCTTATACAGACCAGTTATAAGATGATTTTGGTACCCCTTGTTTTATGAAGTCCATGGAGTTTCATTGTTTAATTCCATGTTAAGATCCTATCTGAAGGCGATTTTGGCGCCCCTAGATTGGCTAGATTTTAAAACCCTTTTTTTATTTTTTTTTGCATCGCCCTGCCCTAGGACAAGGTGAAGCACATTTTGTGAACCTCATGGCTGTGCCTAACAGTTGACACAAAGTTGTTAAAACCTGTGGCCATGACATACTTTTTATTGAGACGCATTTAATGGCTGTAAATAAATTATTTTTTTTGGGTGCTTTTTTTTTGGGGGGGGGGAGGGGGGGGGGGGTCGAAAGATCATCTGGATGTATACTGGGGTGGGGAAATTGCCTTGGACATTCGCCTTACCCCAATATCCCTTTTTCCCCAAGTATTCGCCCTTGGCAAATATTACTACCGGTATATTACTACCAATGGCAATGTGGATCAGAATATTTATAAGTTAAAGATTCAGAGACATTCCATTAATTTGAGTATTAAAATGGGTAGATTGGAGTTCATTTCCCAACAAAACCCAGAAAGAAAGAAACCAAAAAAAATAAAAAATTATCGGATACTAACACTAACTTTATATCCGCACTGTGTAATGTAACGTTAGTTGCGCATGCGTTCTAACACAAGCATGATTTGCATTCTTCCCAAATGGATAATCATAAAGCACACATTTTAAATCAAAACATCTTGTTTAAAGCCCGCTTTTTTTTTCTTCAAATTTGACAGTATTCGTGTAAGCAATAGAATTATTATTACAGATTCCTGTACCTGTATTTGAATGAACGAAGAAAAGTCTGTACAGTCAATATCATCTGACTTTACAAAGCTGATGAATTTTTTAACGTCTGATTATATCGTGCCGTCATGTGGGTACACGTTTTTGGCCTTTTTTTACTTTATGTGGATATAAAATGTTAAAGTAGGGGTTCACATTATACATGGAAGTTCAATGTGACTTTCTTGCATAGGTCGATGGCCCCAAAGACCCACAACTTACTATCAGGTCAAGTTCAACCTACACAAAGTGCTTTTCATACCTTGACACTAAGCAAACTATTTAAAATACAAGTGCCGGTACTAAAGTTTCATTTTTTTAATTCTCCCAAGATCATTATTCTTTATAATGAAAAAACTATGAATTGTTAAATCTTCTTTCGTTACCAAGTTGTGTTAGCTTAATTTAAATTAAATTAAGCATTGCTTTACAAACATAGTCACAGGTGGAAACAATGGATTATAATATAATAATAATGTTATTATTTATACCTGGTAGTATATAATATACCTGGATACATATATATAAGACACTGGTCTAGATCTGTTCACTATGAAATATTCAGAGTACAATGGAATAAATACCGAAAGGGGTTAAAACACCGTAAAATTTTCCATTAAGTCAAGAGGTTCTTAACCAGGGTTTCTTTCAGCCATCTATCCGTCGGGGGGGGGGGGGGGGGGGCCCCCCCCCCCAAAAAGGGGGGGGGGGGGGGGGGGGGGGGGCACTGCCCCAGCAAAATGTGTACAAAAATATAACTGTAACGATTATATACTTATTTAAAATTAAAAAACTACTAAATTGTTATTTTTAAAAAGAATAGTATATGGTGCTTTTGACCGTTTTCAATCAGTGGAATCTATGATCGCTACGTTCGATATATTTGATGATCCGTATATACAAGTATAAGGCCAATCTTGTTAAAGTCTTACAGTATTCAATTAAAAATATCGTATTTGCGGCTCTTGAGTATAACAGACCTGTTTAACTCTTACGATTTTGGCGTACAATTTACGATTTTGAGGTGTATACATTATATGTATTGTATGTTTAATTTTACCTTTTTAGATAATGTATTGAACGATTTTGCGATGATATTGTACGATTTTAAGAGTTTGAGGGTAAACTGGTCTGGTATAAGCAGATTCTTACTTCCCATTGTTTGTATTTATCCATTTAACTTTTGCAAGTTCACACATTTAAAGACTATATCAACGCTGTCTTGAACTACCTAAACATCAATATCATTATCATTCTACAATTCAAATATAGTTCTCGCTAAGTATTAAACATATGCAATCTATTTTTAAATTATATTTCATTATGACAGTATTACTTTTAAAGTAGTGATAGGTGTTAATTTAATTGTAAATTATATTTTGTAAAAAAAAAAAATTAACATAATTATAAATATATTCCATTCCATGAATATTTAGTTATATAAAATGGAAATTAAAAAAAAATTGAGATATATTCTAATTGAGAATTTAACAGTCACATACAAACAGTTCATATTTCATCAATTATTATGTCGAAAGCATTAAGTGTTTTCTTTAAATGTGTTAATTTTGTAAAAAAGTTTCCTGAATAAAGGGTTTTAAAAAAAATTAGCCTATTTATATTAAATTCACAACAGCTTTTGTGTTTTCAATCTCAGAATAATAAACCATCTATCCCATCTAGTTGCCAGGGACGTCTTTTGGGTAGGGAAGGGTGGGGCATGAGCACCCCCTCCTCCCCCTGAAATGGTAGGTGTTGTTTAACTTGCTATGTATTGTGGTGCCTCCAGTAATAAACAAGCAGACCAAGTTTTTGTTTCTTAAAAAAAAAAACCTGAAATGATGCCCGGCTAGTTGCATGGATTTTTTATAATTAATATTTTTTTTGTCAAGATGAGAATCTATCAGAAAGCTTACAAAAAAGAAAATTTTTGTAACTATCATTTCAAGTATCATGCCAATTCCATTTTCTGTTGGTACTCGTTTTAGAAAAAAAAATTCTTATTCCTAATTTGTCTATTTAAAATAAATTCTGTGAATTTGGAAATAAAATGTTTTTAAGTACATCTAAGTGGTAATTTGTAATTTATCCCAAAAAGTTATAGTAGTTTGAAATTCCAAATAATAATTTCAATAAACATAATATTGGGAAATGTATACTTTATTTTTTTAAACAACTCGAGTCTTCTTTACAAAATAATGTCGTTCATACGATTTATAAGAATGACCAATTTTGATAACTCGTAACTGAACCGTTTTTTTTAAAATTTAACCCTGGTAAAGTAAAACTTGGAAATATTTAGCAAATGTTATTATTACATATATGTTGATTATTATAAGTATTTTTTTGTTTTCATTTTTGTTCAACGTGTAAAATGATGTTAGCGGTGATTTTTTTGTGTGATAGAAACCTTTTTTTTCTTCTGAAAATTCATTTATTACTATGTAGCTAAGACCCAAAAAGCTTGAAATAAAAAATGAAAGCCACATTACTATTTAGTAATATAAAAAAATTTGCATAACACAGGCAGTTCATGCAGAGCCGTCCCTCGACTTTTTGAGGCCCTTTTTACCCCTTATTGGTTTTGTCATATCCCCCCTCCCCCCCGCAAACCTTGCGTTGAAGAAGACAAGTAAGAAAATATCCACATCACATCTTTAACTTAAGCCCATAAAATATTCGAGGCCCACTGCAGTCGTAGGCGTTGCAAGGCTCAGAACATTTTTGTATTTTTGTAAGGTTAAGTGACAACTACATTTTTTAAAAAACTAGCATCTCTTCCGTTGCTCTCCAAGTGTAGAAGGCTACAAAACTTAATTAAAATATTTGCTAAAAATGCTTGTTTTATTTTGAATTTGTCAACAAAATTTTGGGGGCTATAAACATGTAATAGATGATATTAATCTAGGGATAATGCATACCCTCAAGGGCACCATAACTAGAATTAATTTAGTTCCCACTGGTGCACCGTTAAAGATGTCTTTAATCATTATTATGGCTAATTTTGGCACTTCCCACATGAAAGTTTGAAATAAAACCTCAAAATTGTAGGAAAGAAACACAGAATGCAAGTATGTGCCAAGGTGCACCCCTGCATTTTGAATTGACACAACTGTCTTCGTCTACAAGAATTTTCCATTCATCTCTGTCCTGTGCGTTCCTTTTCAGTTGCTTCCATTTGTATCCCTTACTTAGAGTCTCCATGTATTTTTGGAGCTTCCTCTCTTTCTTTTTCCCTGTGAATTTCATGTTAGGGATTGTCTGGTGATATCTGGGGGTTTGAAGAGTGTGCCTTATCTACCTCCATCTTTGTCTTCAGCAATAGGCTCCTGGTATGTTCTATCCAGTAAGTCTTTGTTGGTGATGGTGTTGATCTTCAGGATCTTTCTAAGGCAAGTGTTTATGAAAATCTGTACTTTTTGGGTGACCTCGCTGTTCTCCAAGTTTCAGCTCTTTATAGTAGGACTGTTTTGACATTTTTATTGAAAATTCTGACTTTGGTTTGAAGAGTCAGCTCCTTTTACTCCCATATTTTCTTAATAGCACAAATGCTGACCTAGCCTTTCCAATTTTAGCCCTTACTTGCGCTTCGGATCCACCATTTATGTTGATGGCTCTGCCTAAGTGTGCCAGCGCATTTCCTACCAGAGATCTATACTCTTACTGAGAGCTCACACAATGTTTCTAAGGTTAAGTGAGAACTACATTGATTTTAAAACTAGCATCTCTTCCGTTGCTCTCCAAGTGTAGAATGCTAAGTTTAACATTATGATCTTTGTCTTGCTTTTATTTATATAAAGTAAAGAAAGATTCATCGGCACCCTCGATTTCTACCCTTTAATTCGATGAAAATGTTTGATAATTTTGTTGACGAGAGATACACTACCTAGAGGCGTAGCTACTTTTTGTGCTACCAAGGGGGTAAAATATTTTTGCCGCTCTTCCTTTCTTGATACAAATTTTATGTTGTCCGAAAATGTCGTACCTCTATATAAAGAAAAAAGTGACACCTGGGTTAACCACCTCACCCGTCCCCTTTCTACGCTTCTGGAATGGGCATAGCTAGAGTGTATGGCGTCAGGGGACATGATCCAACTCTGAAACGAACTAATTATTTTCAACCATCAAAACCCATTAAAGTCCATTTTGGTGCCCCCGCTAGTCTGGCCCCCAGGGACGCATGCCCCCAGGGACGCATGCCCCCTTAGCTATACCTTTTGCCACTGGCAACTGGCACTGCCCCCCCCCCCCCTGGGAAAAATGTCTGAAAGAAACTCCCCTTTCTACGCTGCTGGAATGGGCATAGCTAGAGTGTATGGCGTCAGGGGACATGATCCAACTCTGAAACGAACTAATTATTTTCAACCATCAAAACCCATTAAAGTCCATTTTGGTGCCACCGCTAGTCTGGCCCCCAGGGACGCATGCCCCCAGGGACGCATGCCCCCTTAGCTATACCTTTTGCCACTGGCAACTGGCACTGCCCCCCCCCCCTGGGAAAAATGTCTGAAAGAAACACTGTTCTTAACATGTGCACCATCTAATAATTTTGGGGCTACTAAAACTTTAAAGTAAGGACTTAATGGAATGTAAATTATGTAAATAAAAGAGTGTATTTACAAAAAATGTATAACCTTTTTTTTTAAAATGTATACTAGTAACAGTTGAGGGGGACCACTGTGGCTAACAAAATGTTAAAGTGAGCCATAATAAAAAATAATAATTTTTAGATGGGATATGAGCTGATTTTGTCTATTCTTGCAATAACCATACAGTTATATCCACTAAGTGCACATATGAAAAATACATATATCCACATCCTTTACAGTACAGTGAAACATACCGTTATTAATAAGACAGTAAACTCAATAACTTGGAGAAGAATAAGGAAAGTTATTTCTCTTCATGAGTTCGTTTATACACATGAATCTGTATTTCTAGAGCTAGCTTACTTTAATAATGAATTATCATTAATTACATCTAAAATTTATACAAAATTCATCATAAGTCTGCAGCATAGTGGAGAGTATTCATAAATTGTTCTCGGCATAGTGGAGATATATTATTCATATATTATTCTTTTTATTATTATATAATATAGCTTATCCTTATGAAGACCCAATCATCCTTGTGTTGATAGAATTCACATATAAATTGGCCTCCTGTGGAAATAAATAGTTACAGAGGGCATTGTTTCAAATGGGTTAATTAACAGTAGTAACACCTAATCTGTTTTCTATGAGTCCAGCTTGTTCACCATTTAGTTATTGTGTCTATGCTACATTTCATTAATTATAGCAGGATTTTATTAACTGGATAATAAATTTCACTTTGAAAATATTTTACCCTTTAATTTGACAGGTACATAGAGAAACAAAAAGAATACTGCAGTTCTGATTTATTTTTCCACGGCACTTCTCATAAGGATGCAGTGATGATATTAAATAGGGGTGTACAGCTGTCACAAGGCTCCGCTGGACAAGATTTTTCAAGTGGTGATGGTTTCTATCTCTCTGATAACTTACTGGATGCCAAAAAATGGGCAGGTGCTGGTAGGGGCAAGTACCAGGCTGTCATTGTGTATAATCTGAGCCTTGTTGGTTGTGAAGAAGGCCTTAACTTAGTCGAAGATGCTGATCAGTGGCAGAAAATAGTGAAACTTTGTAGGGGCGGATATGAAGACTTGCAAAAATTTGAACTTGTACAGAATGTTAAATACATTATTGGCCCATCTTGTAAAAATCCCATCACCGCCATTCAAAATAAAACTGATTTTAAATGGGATGAAACCAACCAGCTTTGTGTAAGAGATCAAACTTTTGCCAATACTCATTTTAACACAAAAAATATTTGCTGTGTTTTTTTCTATTAACAGTGTTAATATAAAAGCAATTTTAAAAGCTGTAGTAGAAAAATATGTGTTTTGGATCACAACATTGGTATATAAAAACATGATGAGACCTAATTAGCCTTTGAGTAAACATGGTTATATGGTAACTATACTTGTACTAATCGTAGTACCTTTTCCATTTTACCTACATGTGTATCCTTATTCCTCATCAAAGAAACATGAACTGGGAATCATGAACCCTCTTCTGATTATAATACCACAGTTTTTGGCCTCCCAAATTACTGCACTATACCCATACATACTATGCAGCTGCCTGTTACCCATCACTTTATTTAAAATGCAAGATTTGGGGGATTAGTGATCCAAATCTTATGTCAGAGGACTGCCAAATATTGGTACCTCTCATTGCGAGACATTCACAGGACATTCACACTCCTTTTTTAGAAATCTATACTATATGTTTTTATCTCCCTCTTTTTAAACCTACAAAGTTTCAAAAGTTAAAATTCAGCATGAATAGCTGAATTTCCAAACTCGTACGTCATAAGTTAATGAACAAGTTTAAAATATGTCATCATATTCGTATGTAATTAAATCTAATGAAATTTATAACAAAAGCATTTTTATTTTTATTTTTTTAAATATTTTTTTTTTGCTGGTAACCGTCCGTCACAATGTGACGATGGAGTGGGCTTTGGAGGACGTAAACCACATGGCCTGGTATTATTCTTCAAGGATTATAAGCTGGTTCCCAACAGCAAATCGCCTCTCGCCATGCCGCTGGATAACCCAAGGGAACATCAATGGATGATACAGCTTGGCACCAGTGACGTTGCAGAAGTTGTTGGAATGATTCATTGTATCAATGTTATCCGCCTTTCGGGACTCCATAGAGTTTCATTTCAGAGTTTCCTTCTCTTAGATGAGTTGCCATCCAAGGTTAACGAGTACTAGTACCGTACATGGGTATCTCATCAGTAGGTAATGGCGACAGTGACCAGGATGATGGCACTGAGCTTGTGAAGACCAACTGACTGATATTCAACTTGAGATATTTTAATTCAAAGGTTATTTTAAACAGTTCCTAATTTTTTGTGATTATTAAACATTATCAACTTTTTATACCTGATTAAACCTTGAATAATAATTATTTTTTTTTTATACCAGTACAGTTATTGTATGTGTATTTCTTTTCCTTTTAAAAATCATGCATATTTGTGCCGAGGCGTCAAATAAACCTTAATACTTTATCCTTTCAGGATGCTATTGACCTTATTTTGTTACTATATATAAGTATTATAAGCAATGTTTCCTCTAACTCTAAGGGGTTTGTTGGTTATTTGTGTGCAAAGTTTTACAGCATCAATTTTTTTGTGTGCAAAATTTTTCAGCCCACAAACACAAGCACACACTTACATGGAAATTTGCTGCGCGGTGCTCAAAACTGCTGCGCGGCGTCTGTGAGATAGCTGCGCGGCGTCTGTGAGATAGCTGCGCGGCGTCTGTGAGATAGCTGCGCGACTGCGTCTTAAAGGGAACATTGAGTAAAAGTATAAGTAATTTATTATTTAAAAACTTAGATAGTAGTTAACCGGTAGTTAGGGGGTGCAGACCGCACCGGGTGACAATATCTCAGGGGGGGGGGGTGACACCAAGTTGAAAAATTTCATATTTACAGAGTACATGCGGCTCGGTCTAACCGAATTTCATAAAACAGTAAGATTCAGCGGCAAACGAGGAGCTAGGTAACTAACCTAAGTGACAGGAAGCTATATTTATCTTAATTCTGAGAAATACAGCTTTATATTTATACCAAATAATATGCGGTCGGTCGATTCTAAGTTGATTAATGGAATCGGTACAAATTAAAAACATTATTAAAAATAAATTTGTACTCATTTGATTTTATAGGGTAGTCCAAACAAAATAATATTTCACAAAAATTTTCTAATTTCTTTTAATCATTAAATTATTTTTTAACAAAATTTAAATTTAAAAAGGTTTTTCAACCAAATATATCGAAACCCAGAAATACTCAAAAATTAATATTTTCGCTGATTCGGCACTAGCCCACCCTTTAGTTTAAAATTTTGCAAAATTGACAGGTTTGCAGCTTTGAAGACCAGGAAAAGAAAATTTTAAATAAAGTAAATTTATTTATTATAAAAATATCTATAACTTAATGTTGTACTTGTTACCGTTCTTAAACCTAAACACATTTATCTCTTGCCCTTCAATTAATTTGTTTTTGTTGTAGACTTATTTTAACTTTAACAAAGAGAAATCCGTCGTGGAAGGCGGGTTGGGGTGGGGGTGGCACCATGAGTTTACCGCACCGGGTGACACCAACCCTAGCTACGCCACGACTACTGGAGAAGCCAATTCATGAAAAAGCAGGGTTGCTCGACAGCCATGAATACCGAGGTGGTGGTCAGGCAGCGGACATGAATGAGGTAATTCCATTTTCAGTATTTCACTACTTAGTAGCCTACTAGTAGGGTACCCATTGAAAAATAGGCCTCTGGTCAATTTGATGAAATGAACACACAAAACATAAAGTGCATTAGTTCCGCGGAGTCAAGGCCTTTAACAGACCTGTTTACCCTCAAACTCTTAAAATCGTACAATATCATCACAAAATCGTTCAATACCTTAGATTTATAGTAAAAAATAAACATACAGTATAAATAATGTTTACACCTCAAAATCGTACATTGTACGCCAAAATCGTAAACTTTTTAGTAAAATAGCAAAAACTAATGAAAAATGAATATATAGGCCCATTCTAAGTACCGTAGTCATATAGAATTCTAGGAGTAAATTGTAAATTGAGCATTCAGGAATTTCGTAAACATTTTAAGGTTACATAGAGCTTTAAACGCCGAGTTCAAATAGTATACCGGTATTATAGTGAAGCTTTATTAAGTTACCTTAACCGTCTTCAACTTCAGTTTATAGGCCTACCCATACTAATACTACTGCCGAGCCGGTATAACTTGAATTTCCAGCTTCAATACAATTACTGTTTCTTTCAGACAATTTGCTGCGGTGGGGGAGGGGTGGGGGGGGGGGGAAGAGGCCTAAGGTGGGAACTATGGAAATATTAGGTTTATATGGTATTCAGCGGATACAAATATTGGTTTTCAAGGGGGGGGGCAAAAATTATTTTCCCCAGGTGCCAAACACTCTACTTACGCCTCTGCCAGGGGCTAAAAAGGGGGGCGTATAGGGTTAGATCGCCCAAGGTTTCACCATTTATTGCATGGAGTGGCGGCATTTATGGACAACTTCAGTTTGTATCGTGATTGCTAAAAGTGAAAGGGGGCGGGGCAAAAAGCTTGGCCGCTCAGGGCGGTACTTGTACTAACACTAGCTATGCCAATAGTAGACATAGTGCCGTCTTAACAACATAGGAGGCCCTGGGCACAGCAATGTTCTGGGGCCCCCATAGCAACACAACATACCGGGGCCATGAGAAGGCAGACACTCGCCCCATGCTTAAACAGTGGTGGAGGCAAACAGTACCTGTTCCCCATCAACTCACCTAGAGGAATAAAAAAATAAAAATAAACATTCCATAAAGTTAAACTTCGATGAATTCATTTTTATTAATACAAGAAAAAAAATAATTCAAAATCATTATTAGTTTTACAACGTAATCAGAAATAAACTATAAATAATCACACAGTATGATAAATCCATTGTTAACAGATAGATAAAATAAATTATTAACTTATTTCATATAAATCAGCATAATCGTTTGCGTATTTTTTTAGCAGCGGTGTATAGCCTCTTTCATACAAATGGACTATTGTCACGCTTGTGGCATAGGTAGCTATCTAAGATACGATTTTAAAATACCGGATACTTTTAACTTAAACGTAAAAGTTAAATTTTATTAATGCCGTTACTGCTGCACTGCTATATTATTGTGTTGAAGAGGTTGCAGAGATTACCTATTTTTTTTATATATATATATTACCTATTTTTTATATGGCATGCCTAACAATTTTCTAGTTTAGTATTAGGCTACTATGACAATTAGGGAAATGAGTCAAATTATGGGAAAACCTGAAAAATAGAACGCAACAAAATAAAGAACGTGTTGGCAAGAAGCCTTAATGACATCTAAAGTTAAGTGTTATTTTTATTTAATTAAGTTTTTGCTGTTGATTGTTCGCTGATGAAGGCTTCTAACCGACACTTTCGCCGTTTCGTTGCGTTCCCTTTTCAGGTTTTCCCATGCTTTGTGTCATGTATGACGTGTTTACGTCACGTTTCCCCCATGCTACCAATCTAGCAGACGCCGCATTCGTATTGGGCGTGACCAATTCCCCTTTCATCTTGCCGTGTTTACTACCGATACCACCTAAAAAAATAAGTAATCTGTTTCTCATAGTATTTCGTGGAATGTTCGCGATTGGACTAGACACTAAGTTAAAGATACTCTCTTCATTCAATAATCATTATAGTTTAGAATGCTACAAAGTTCATTCAAAGCTAAACAACATGTGCTTATGTATTTAATGTAAACATGCGAGATACAAATAACCGGTACATTATTTCCTTCTAGAATGTATCTTCCAATCAACACCCGTGTTCCACAGTAATAGCATCTGTGACATATTTAATTTAACTGACTCTTATTGATTATTACATAACATAACTGATGCAGCGTTGTTCTTGTAAAATTTAACGGTCATTTTGACATCTCATCACTGGTCATTGCACCCTAGACATGAGGCCGGTGAATATTCTGATAATTATAGAAACAAATAATAAAATCAAGCAAAAAAAAAAATTGATGTTATAAAAGTGTGTGCTCAGAAAATACGAAAATATAATTGTGCATAACATACTGAAACATCTGGGCTAGTTTACACCCGGTACAATTGAGAAAACGCATCGCTAAGTATAAGTTAAGCAATGGTTGACTTATGTGTACCTTGTTGTGCTAAGGGTAACAGTGTACGATTTAAGTATATTTTATGACAAACTCTTGCAACAATTTTCTTGCTTGCAATTTTTGCTGTTACACTAATTACACCCACTAAAACTACAGCATCAATAACAATACCAACAATCTGGATATTACTGTTATCTGAAATCCAGAGGAAACAATGAAAACCAATTTTTTATTTTACATTTACATATTAATTTTTTTATTTGGTCTTCTAAAACAAAATATTTTATCAAAATAAATTAGTAGTTAGGTTTACAGACTTATAAAATTTGAACAAAACTACCAATCACAAATAAATTTTTAAAATTAATTGGGGCAAATGATAATTCTGATACCGGTAATTAAAATAGTACTATTAATGCTACGAAGTGGCTATAGGTACCCGAGTACCCATCGTCGCCAATGACTATTCGCACCCGAAAGTCTTAGTAATCGAAAAAAAACATGATCCGAACCAGAGGCTTAATAATCAACAAGTCTGCCGCGCTTTCTTTTATAAAAATGGAGGTTGGCAGCATTTTTGACACCTATGCGTCTTTTGAAGACGAATTGAATTATTTTTGTAAAGAACACAATGTGTGTTTCACTAAAAGATCGTCAGAGAAGATGAAAGATCCCAATTTGGAACACCTTAAATATGAATATATAATTCACTGTTGCAAACAAGGAGTTAAACGCAAGTCAAAGTCTTCAACAACAGGCCAAAGAAAATCACAAGCGTAAGTAATAAAGTAATAATAATAGGTTACGGTAACTTTAAATTTAGTTAGTTTGTCATGCAATAATTCTTTCTCCAAGCCAATGATTATTACCACGGTAAATGTAGAGGACGAATGCCACTATTTTAACAAAATAATATTTTACAAAATGTTCAAATAGCGATTAATAATTAATTAAGATTTATTATTATTATTTTTTTAAGTGGGCTTTGAAACAAAATATATTGAAACCCACAAATACTCAAAGAAAGATATTTTCACGGATTCTCCACTAGCACTGCAACTTAACATTTGAGCACGATTGTCAAACAGCAGAAGGTCTTTTACATGTTGTCTCTGATTTCACGTTTCTCTGCTACCTTTACATTTGGGCTGATCTACTTGAGGAATTGAATCTTATACAGCAGTATCTGCAGACTAAAAACTTTACTCTTGACAAAGTGGTGCCCAACATAGACAGTGGCGCCATTAGGGTTGGTGTCACCCGGTGCGGTAAAGTCATGGTGCCACTCCCCCCACCCCCCCCCCCCCCCCCCGGACTTCCACGATGGATTTCTCCTGGTTAAAATAAGTCCACGATGTAACAATGACAAAGAAACACCAACAAAAAAAAAATAATAACTGAAGTTCAGGAGGT